AACAAATTTACCTCCGAATTGATTAGAAAATCTTAAAAAAAAAAAGATAAAATAGTAAAAAAAAAACAAAAACCAAAGAGGTCACCTCAATATCAAAAAAAAAAAAAAAAAAAAAATAGTACAGATCTTTAACAATATTACTGTAAAGACTAAACCTAGAAAACAGATACTAATATAAAAAAAATCAGATGGGTAAGAATTTCAGATGAGAGATACCACCAATTAGATTATCAGAAGTCTTGAACCAGAAAAAAAAGAACCTTAAGAGTAGACTCTGAGATATCAGAGACAGGTTATAGTTCTTCTAGACTATTTGGATTAGAAGTCTAAAATCAGAAGCAGATGTATATTATAAATACTAGAGATATATTGTAAAGCAATATTAAGGTTTGGATAAACTCTACAAGAATAAGTCTTATTAATAAAAAGATTAAATATGTGTAATTAGTTAGCAAAGAGACTCTTTAGAGTCTTACAGTCAAGCAATGTATTTTGAAATGTGTAATAACTTGACAGATATATAGAAAAGGAGATCAAGATTAGGTTAGATAACACTTAGATGTATAGAAACTTGTATACTATTTGTCAGTATAAGTATAGGGATCAGAATATTTAAATAGGTAATCTTCTAATAAATTGTAGGTATGACAACTAGTATAAACCTGCTGTTCAGATAAACTACTTAAAATAAACAACCAAAAGTTGTATATATGACTAGTTGTATACTATACTTACCTTATACAAATTATGTAATTATAATTAAAATACAATAAAGCAATAACTACCAATAACCATAACCTTAGTAAAAGCAAAAAAAAAAAATTCATATTGTATTTTTTACATTTGTTTGTAAAATGTATCTCAGACCATTTTCATTACTATATTCATGAACTGCTATCTTGATTTCATGTTTAAGAACTATGTTAATTTGTCTTGTGTTTCTTTTAGAATTAGATCTTTAATTAATGCTTCTCTTATTTTTACTTCCTCTAACTCTGTTTTTCTGAATAGTCTTATATATAACATGTATGGTAAGATCTAGATTTTTTCTTCTTCTTTCAGTCAATACAGAGTAATTCTTACTTTCTAACTGACAAACTATTTTTATTAAAAATCAGTTTATATATTCTATTAAAAGTCAGCTATTATATTTAAACCAAGAATCAGGTATCCAAAATTTAACCTCAATTCTGGTTATTGAACCTAAAATTTGGGTGAAGCGGGAGCCGGGCATTTTTGAAAATTCAGTAGAGTAGCACGTAGGCTTTCACCTCAGCTCCAGCCAATAATTTTCTTAAACGACCTATGTCGTTTTCTAATAACGATAAATTGAGAAATGATAAAAAAACAGTTGCTTAATAACATTTAGTATGCCGATCTGAACGTGACTATTGGCCAATCAAATAAATTCCGAATTTTACGCCAAAAACAAACTTCTAAGTGTAAAGTTTACTTTATTAAAGATGGTGAAAAAATGTAAGTTCGTCTATTAGGAACCTTAGGAACTTTTATGCAGTTGAACGCCAACAATACTAAAAAAAAATATGTATTACATGTATTTTGTGCTTTTGAATTAAGATTACTGCGATTATTGTGACCGAATTTTTCCTGATAATGCAGAGGCTAGAAAAAATCATATAGAAGGAGCAAATCATCAAAATAACGTAAAACTTCATTATGATTCTTATAGAGGTAATTAATGTATCCTTACTATGTTGTTATTTGTGTATTATCCTTCGATCTAAAGAATCATAACACATTAGACCCTGTTGAGTTATTGCTGGAAAATAGCAAAAAGTCACCTTGTCGAAAATTTAATGAAACTGGATATTGTCCTTTCGGTTTAAGTTGTAAATACTCTCATGTTCCATATGGAACAGATTTCTCTGTAGTTGATCCTCATCGTAAGTCTAATCGTTATTTTTGTCTCATAATTAAACTTCAAATTAAATGTCTTGACCGTGTTTTTCTCTTATAGTATACTTGTCCCAAAATCCCATTCTTCTTCAACAACGACGTCAAATATTCTCGAGAGAACAAGGTGGTCAATCATCGCAACAAAGACCAACTCCAATGTTCAAATATAAGCTTCCATCTGGCTTGTCATTGCGAGATCTGCCGCCATCGCTTAGACCTCCTCCGCCGATGGGATATGATTTCTCAAAAGCTGCTCAATGGGGTTAATATATACTTGCCACCTAAAACCCAAACTATTATAGTTTAGGTTTGTCCGTGCCCAAATCCCAAACTAATATTTCGGACACTTTATTAATAATATTTATTTAAACAAATGGTATATATTTTTCATAGTTATGCATAATATACAGTCAACCTTCCATAAATGCACACACTATGTATACCTTTTCTAAATGCACGCTAATTTTCAGTCCCAAGCATATAGAGCACTTAATAAAAGGCCCTAAATAAATGCACACCCTTTCTAAATGCACATTTTTAAAATTTTACTTAGTTCTAAGGGGGTGCATTTATGGAGGATTGACTGTATTTGCACAAACATCAAGATTATTTTTTGATTTCATTTTTTTTTTGTAAATAGCGATTTCTCCTTTAGGATTTGGGATTTGTTCAAGCTTTGTCGGCAAGTATAGATTAACATATATGTATATAAGTATTTGTTAATTTTAAGGCACAAAATTTCACCTTTATAAGAATGAAACTCTAATATAAAATGTAGAATTTACCGAATAAAGGTATGAAACTGTATTTTAATTCTGAAGCGGAAATTTAAAGCTATTTTAATATTAAATTATTTAAAAAATTTTGTGACTTTTTTTTCAAGATTATAGTCAAGTTTAGGATTAGAATTATTGAGAGTATATGAGTTTTAGTAGGTCTTATGTGTTCAAAAACACCCAAATTTTAGCTTTAGTTGTCATATTAATTAAATATTTAGGCTTGTAAATTTGATAGGCTTTTTGTATATAAAATGTTTAATATAATTGCATTGATCATATAGAACCCCAAATTATCAGTAAATATAATAAAATTTTACAAATTTTTAGTCACTTTATTTTAGAGTTAATGTAGTAAATCATATATTTTACATATATACTTTAATATTAACCAATTTAGAAATAGAACTTTTTTTGTTGCTTTGTTTTATTATCATATGATAACCTAGGTGCACAGATGAAATCCAAGTTATATATGATAAAAATTTTAATTCAATTTAGAATTAATTCATTTTATTATAATATTTTATTCTATTCTATTCTTGACTCTAATGTATTGCACAATTTTTTCAATAGTAATAACAAAATTTGACGGCATTTAATCTTTAACCAAAATGTTACAAAGCCGTATAGCTTTCTTCTGTTTGATATAGAAAGATAACAAATCATTGCTAAATCGTTTATAGAATATATAAAAGGTGCAAATGATGTATATAATTTAATATATATAGAATATATAGAAGGTGCAGATGATAGATGATGTATAGAACTTAATATTCATAGATAATTTACAATAGTATTCTTGTATGTAAGAATTATTCTAGAGAGAAATTAGTAGAAACTACAGAACTATTGTGGCACTTCCGAAAGTAGGCTATACAAAGTTAATTTTTTGGTTCTCATAACCCGGCCAGGTCACTTTCTCTAAAAATTAAAATTAATTTTTATATATATAATTTTTTTACCCAGCCTGCCGTGTCATTTTTTTTATTTCATATTATGAGAACTAGAAAATAACTTTGTATGAAGATGCTAAAAATATTTCGGCAATTTAATAATTCTGAAACACTTTCGGTAAATCACAATAGTTTCTATGTCATACATATGAATTACTATTTTAAATAAGTAAAGATTAAGAATATTTCTCTTGGGTAGGAAAGAAAAAATTTTTCTTTATCGTATAGCGCTGCCTATAGTACCACCGGTCTTAAAAACCCTGGAACTGGAATAGTACTCATTTTTTTAATTCCCTATAGTCACCCTCAAATAAGCATATCGTATAAAAATTCTTCTAAAACCAACTATCGCTATTATAAACATCTAAAAAAAAAAACCTCTATATAAGCACATTTTTAAGATCCCAATGGTATGATTATAAAGAGGTTTATACTGTATATCAAAAAAATAAAATAAAATAAAATTTTTGTAAAATTAAAGTTTATCCAACTGCTATGTATAACACAGCTCGGGGGAACTGTGTGTGTACTATACAAGAAGGAAATACTATTAATATTACCCACTTTCGGAAAAGATGATCTGCAGTAACTGATCGAAATCAAAAATTAGTACACCTGATTATCCTCGATCTTATGAGTTTGTCACACTCAAATAAGGATTTTAAATGAATGTATGTATGTTCTTTTGATACAAAAATAATGGGTTCAAACTCAGATTATACCGAGAAAAGACGATATATTTCAAAAAAAAGAGACGATGATCCGGGCTGGGTAGAGGAGGAACCACCATACTACTTCCTTTTTACAACCTACTTGTCATATTTAATTCTTATCTGTTTTGGTCACCTTCGAGATTTCTTTGGCAAAAGATTTAAAAGTAAAAATTATCGTCATTTAAAAGAACAAAATGTAGGTGTACTTTTAATTTTACTTTAATAGTCATAAATGTAATCTAATTCACTATATTCATTAATATTCCAATGTTAAATGTAGGGCTATGCACCTCTTAATTCAGACTTTGACAATTTTTATGTTCGTCGCCTCAAACTTCGAATTAATGATGTTTTTAATCGCCCAGTTACTGGTGTTCCCGGTCGAAAGATTACTTTACTAGAACGTAAAACTGATGATTATTGTAAAACATTTCAATTAACTGGCAATACTAGAGAATGTTTAAATTTAAGTAGCTATAATTATTTGGGTTTTGCTCAATGTGAAGGTCCTTGTGCTGATGCAGTAGAACAAACTGTAAAAAAATATGGAATTTCATCATGTAGTCCTCGAGCTGAAGTTGGTAAGATTTATTTGATCTATTTTATATTAAATTCAAAAAGATGATTTTTATATTAATTAATATTTATTCAAAACTTATATAGGCTCTTTAGATCTTCACCTACAAGTAGAATCCCTTGTTGCAAGATTTGTAGGAAAAGAGGCTGCCATGATTATTTCTATGGGTTACTCAACAAATAGTACTACAATTCCAGCCCTTGTATCAAAAGGTTGCCTTATAATTTCTGATGAATTAAATCATAGTTCCATAGTTTTTGGTAGCCGTCTTTCTGGTGCATTTATTCGAGTCTTCAAACATAACAATATGAATGACTTGGAAGCTTTACTAAAAGAATGTATTAGTCAAGGTCAACCACGTACACATCGTCCGTGGAAGAAAATCTTACTCATTGTGGAAGGAATCTATTCAATGGAAGGAAGTATATGCAATTTGCCAAAAATTCTCGAATTTAAACGAAAATATAAGGTAAGGTTTTTTTAAGATTGATAAAAAATAAAGTTGCCCGTTTTCCAACATATATATATATATAATATTTATTTTATTTATTAACTGTCATATTATCTGTCATCCTTTCTTTTACGTTTAAAAGTTTTATCTTTATGTCGATGAAGCTCACAGTATTGGCGCATTGGGGCCAAGTGGTCGTGGCGTGTGTGACTATTATGGTGTCAATCCCGATGAAGTAGATATACTAATGGGCACGTTTACCAAATCATTCGGTGCAGCTGGTGGATATATAGCGGCTGACAAAAATGTAATTGACTATTTACGTCTTTCATCTCATGCATCAATTTATGCCGAATCAATGACGCCTCTTGTATTACAACAAATTTATACATCAATGTCAATTATAATGGGTGAGGATGGAACAAACGAAGGTCGGGAACGTTTAGAACGCTTGGCTTTCAATGCACGTTATCTCAGTACAAATCTACGACGATTAGGTTTTATTATTTATGGGAATTATGATTCTCCAATTATTCCTCTTATCTTATTTAATCCTGCAAAAATTCCGTAAGTATTAACACACCTACCCAATCGACATTTATTTAAATAGTTGATATTATTCTAATTATTTTTTTTTTGCCTATAATTTATTTCAGTGCATTTTCCAGAGAATGTCTAAAACGTAACATTGCGGTAGTAGTCGTTGGTTATCCTGCAACACCAATGATTTCATCACGTGCCCGATTTTGTATTTCCGCTGCACACACAAAAGAAGATTTAGATGTCATATTACAAGCATGTGATGAAATTGGTGACATTTTACAGCTTAAGTTATCAAATAATCCAAAAAAACTGTCGCTTGAAGAAATATTGAAAATTGAAGGGTTGTAAAAATACATTTATTAAAAAATAATCGAATTACATATCGATATAGAAAATAATATTATTATTTAAAAAGATTTATATTGTGTGATCTTTTGGTTAATGGAATTTGAGTTTACTAATTCGATTTAATATTTTTGTATTAGTATTAAATTATTTAATTACGTTCTTTGCATACTATCATATTGATTTTTTTTTTTAGTATATAGATTTTTCTAGTATAATCACTTCATATCAGATCGTATATATTTGTTTTCTATTTAGAAGTAATGATTATGATAAAAGTGTATGTATAAAGAAATTACCATTTGACTTTCTAATTCATACCGAATTACCCATTGACCTCTACAAAATTCGACGTCAGACAATTGCTGAGTAACTTTTTTGGTTATGTATTCGAATCACTGACCATAATTCCATAATTTATAAATAATATAACACTAAAGCAATTTAGCATCATTGCACCTAATAAGTTTTAAATTTCAAATATAGGTTTCGAGTTTCAGATTCTAAAACATTTATATTTTCGGATAAAAAAAATTCTTTGTAATAATTTTTAGTCAAAATTTCAAAAGTTGCAACTTTAACAATCAAACCAATTTACAAATAAAAATATTCCTTTAAAAATATATTTTATTAAGATTCTTTAAATTCAGCAATACAGAGAATACAGAGACAAGAAATGAAAAATAATAGTAATAATAAAATTTTAGAGAATTTTAGAGAAATTTATTTATTGATAGAAACGCAGTTTAATCATCATCATCATCTGCCTCTTCTGCTTCTTCCAACCATTTCGCGAATGGCTTTGCCTTGTTACGGATTTCCTTATTGATTGCGGCTTCAACGTAATTAACTGATGCAGTTCTTTTAAAGAAATTTTGATAAGTCTTAGAACTGTCACCTTCGAGCCACGCCTGGAACACATCTTCTTCAAGCAAATCATTCTGATAATAACTCATCAAAATACTGCAAATGGTCCTACTTTCCATCAAATCTTTATGTTCAGATACGAGTATTTCGGTAGCTCCTAAAAGAGCCCTTTGATCGTCAGAACTTTGGACGAACTAATTAAAAAATAAAGTTATCGAATTGTAAATAAAACAAAAATAAAACAAAATAAAATAAATAAATCATATTACCTTTTGGAAAAGTTTGACCTTTTTGTGAACTTGTTTATTAATAGTAGACGTATTATTCTGAAAACTTTTTGCAAAGAGGCCAATAACAAGATGTTTCAGGACCTGATCTGTTTCTTTGGAGATGCCTAACTCTTTAATTTTCTTATATATCTCATTACTGCCAGCAGATGTGACATTTTTCTCCATCCACTTATCGAGTTGTTCGTAAGGATCCCCACTTTCCTCGTCAGAGTCACTATCGCTGAGTAAAAGGGTAGAAAACTCTTTGGCACGTTTTGCGACAGCTTCCGTGGAAGAGTCAAGAACCCAATCATCATCATGTTTATAATCATCTGCGGTAGGAAGATTAGCAGCTTCAGCCTGAATGCGAAGGGTAAGTTCATCATCCGTTCCTTCTTCAGAAGAACCCTTAGTAGTAGGGGATGTCTGACCGTCGTCTTCACCTTTCTTGCTTTTCTTGTCTTTCTTAGTACCTTTAGGAGGATTTTTCAGGATGTAGGTAACGAGCTTGTGACGCATATCAACATCAGTTCGTTGACCGCAGGCTTTGCAATCACGAATGATTTTCTGAGTATTAGGATTTTTACCGATAATAATCTATGAAGACAATTGAACAATTTAGTAGAATGTCACGTTTAACCTTGTGAATAAACAACATATTTATACATACTAAATCAGTTTCTGGGTTGTTACAGCCTGCACAAAGCACATATTTTTTAATGAAAACGTCGAGCAATTCTTGAAGCCTAGCAGCTTCATGTGCGCCATTAACAATGTAACGATCGTTTTTTTCGTCAACTTGAATTTGTGCACCAAGCTCACACCCAAAGAATTTAGTGGGATCTATTAAATTATTAAACAATATATAAAATATACTTTATTATTTGTAAAACAATAGATCATGAATAGATTTGGTATAAAAACATCATTTGTCATATTGCACCATATAACATTTAGACAGATCTCTTACACTAAATCTGGTGCTATAAATTAATTACTTACAGGTCGGCGGGCGACTCAAGGAACGTGCAATGTCGGACATGTTTGGGACTACGGTCTTGATTCCGTTACCTTTACCTTCGATCTGCAAAAATGAAAAATGTTAATTTATATAGTTTGATCTTTGACATGTCATATTTGGTCATCGAATTTGATGGCACAAACTCGCTATAGAATAATTAAAATACCTTAGAAATGAGTTTAGGCATTTTGTACCGATAAAATCGGTCTTGGTTATTACCACCGATGTTAATAGTAGCCATGATTGCAATCTAACTTTTACAACGCTATGAAGTTATACGAAAACAGAGATGAGGGCAGAAAAAGTACAATAAAATTTTGGAAAGTATTCTAATTTATGTAGCGTCTTCTGTGTTTCGCAAATCTCCAACTATTTTTCGTTTAGGTCATTGACCTCTTACGTTTATGTCTTTGTGAACGTTTTCTATGTAAAACTTGTGGACGCTGCTTTTGATTTTGATTGCTTCCAAGTAATGAACAAAACATGAAGCGGTTGGTTCGCAATATTAGTTGTGTGTGAAAAAAAAAGCCGGTCTGATAAAGTTGCTTGTTTGTAGTTGAACCTATTAAGATGAACCAGAATAATAATGTTAAATAAAAAAAATTTTTTTTTTTTCAAAAAAAAAAAAAGCGTACCTATTTATATTTAAACATGCATTACTATATTAGTTTTTGTCATACTTTTGTCATATCAAGGAATCAAAGTTACGGGAAATCAGATAAAAGAAATCTCCGTTTAAGTGATTTGACTGGCCAATCATTTACATGTGATCACAATGCGGTTGTTTGTTATGCTGAAAAATTCTATTATCGTTGACCACTCGGAGTTTATGTGAACAAGAAATTCGCTTTGTGGTGGCTTAGCTATGAACGTGTAAGTTTTACATGATAGCATCAAAATTTACAATTTATATTTGTAAACATTCTTGATAATTTAAAACAAAAATTTATTATTGCTATTGTGCAGGAAGGGTTGGCAATGCATATTACGTATGTGTCTATGAAAATTTTTTTTTTAATTTTAATAAAACGATAAATTCAAACAAATTTAATAAAAAATAATGGTTACTTTATTCGCTTTATTGATAATTTACCGATTTTATATACAATATCAATACATAAAATATTAAATAAAGTTACTTAAGTTGGAATAGAATTATCTTTTTGTCTAAAAGTTTTTTAATTTATAATTTTTTTAGCATCTGTCGGTTCATTATAAAAATAGGTCATGGCGCAGCAGCAATATTTTACAGCTGTTCTGAATTTGGAGTTATCGTTATCGGAATTGGATTTCCAGAATTTGAGAACAGCGTAATTGACTGACGCACCAATTTTATCTCGATTTTGATTGGCTAACGGCCATGATCTACAAAATTTTGCCGCGCATTACATAATAGCTTACATAATTTCTGGCCGGAATTAACCTTTCAACTTTTTTATTCCAAAATAGAAATTGTTAAAGAAATAGGCACGCACAATGATAAAATTTAGGGATTGGAACCGCCTAAAATTTTTCTTAATCGTTTAATCATTTAACTGTTAATTTGGCCGGCATTAAAATAATTTCGGCCCACAACCAACATAATATTGCCCGTAACTATAAAGCAATTTTTAAATGGTTAAACGGGTTTCAATTTTTAGTAAAATTAGTTTAAGACCTTTTTTTTTTTTTGTGGTTGTAATTTTATTAGTAAAGCTTTAAGTAAAATTTTTGATTGTTACTTTTAGTATTAGCTAATCAAAATCAAAATTTGTTATAATAATTTTAGTGCAGCAGTTAATTTTTTTTTTTTTTTATTGTTAAAGGTCATACTTTGGAATAGTAATTTTATTAACATATTGAAGTTAGTCATTACAACTATTTCTACAATAATTAGAATACAACTAGTTATATATACAACTTTTGATTAATTATTTTAAGTAGTCTGTTCTAGAGTTTTATACTAATTATTATATTTATGATTTACTAAAAGATTATTTATTTAAACCTTTTAATCATTTTCTTATTAATTATTTTTAACTATTACAAACCTCTTATATATACTTATATATATTGTTTGAATAACATGTTTCTTCTTTTTTGTATTAGTGTTCAGATTACTTATTAGAAAGTTATTTGCTAATAAAAATCAAAATATCTTTCTTAATAACTAACTTATTTACTTTATAAACTATAAACAGAATTATAATTTTGTAAAATTTATCTAAACCTTAATACTTATTTTATAATATATTTTTAGTATTTTTAGTATATATTTCTGCTTCATTATCTTAATACATCACCACATCTTTATTTTCTAAATCTTATTCAAGGTCTCTACTCTATAACTCTATATGCTAATATTAAAATACTCCTTTATAAAACAATATTATCTTTTCTTACAACTTTATCCAATGCCTCTCTTAATTGGTTTTATCAACAAATATGGCTACCATGTAACATTCTTCAACAACAATAGAAAAAAGCTTACAATATAACTAACAAATCCAAATGTTCAAAAATCTATTCTCTAATTCTTACCTCCCAATCAACACCTAATACCTTAAATACATCTACTATTGACCCTACTATATCTATTAAAAACTGGTTATTCTTAGGCTATTTACTTACTAACTGTATTT